ACAAGTACCCCTATCATTTAGTCTGCCACCCTGACCTGCCACCCTGACCTGCCACCCTGACCTGCCACCCTGACCTGCCACCCTGACCTGCCACCTCAGCAAGTCTGTACCTACCCGTGGTTTGCCGCCCTGGCCTGCCTACCCAGCTCAGCAAGAGAGGGGGCGAACAGTGGACTGTTCGTCGAATGCCTGTGTGGCTTTGAAGGATCTTCAAGGCTTCAACAGACTTGAACAGAGTGCAATTTTTTTTTTTTTTTCCGGAAACAGAATTGAAAATTCAAATATATGTTGTTGTTGTTGTTGTTGTTGTTGTTGAAAATTCAAATATATGTTGTTGTTGTTGAAAATTCAAATATATGTTGTTGTTGTTGTTGTTGTTGTTGTTGTTGTTGTTGTTGTTGTTGTTTTTTTAATGAAAACTTATCTGACTCCAGACATTTCCATGTGGCTGCAGGTTGATATCAGGAATTATGACATGCTTAGGACCCCGCTTGGATTTTCGAGCAAGGAAGAGTTCTTAACACTGCGCGTTCCGGGGCTTGCAGAAAAGAGGCCCTCTGTGGTGGTAATATTTCTCTTCCCCCCCTCTTCCCCCCACCCCCTTTTCTATTTCCTTCTGTCCTTGGTTTCTTTTTTTTTTTTTTTTTCCTCTTTACCCGTGGTATCAATTTGATATCCAACTGCAAAAACAATTACAGCGGAAGGATTTGAATTTTTGCTAATGATATTGAATTTTGAAACATTGCTGTGGTATATTTCTGTCTGGCATCTTTTTTTTAGTTCTTTTATGTTGAATAAGTGATTATGCGAGGTCCGAAGGCCTGCAGCCAGGTTAAAAAAAGAGCTGCATCCAGGTAGCAAGACCGGTGCGGCCCCAAATCGGGGACCCATTTTTTTTCTTTTTCTTTTTTGTCTTTTTGTAATCTTGATGTACCTTTTCGCCATTTTGTGAATTTGGACAGGTGGGTGACAAGGTGTATGTGCGGTTAGCGAGAGATAGAACCAATGTCGACGACGTTGGGACGTGGAGTTATCAACAACCAAAGGAAACTGAATATGAGGTATGAGGTACCTTCTTCTTCTTCTTCTTCTTCTTTTTTTTTTTTTTTTAATGAAGTACTATGAAGTAGCGTGAACCATATGATACCTTTCACCTCCTCTTTTTTTTTTTTTTTTTTTTTTTTTTTTTTAAATGGTACCCTTTTTCTCATATGGTGGATTCAACTGGATTGTGATTCTTCTTTGACCAAGAAGGGGGATAACCCCTAACTTCATTGCATTCATAAATAGCCTCTAACTTTATTGCACTCATAAATATTAAATAGCCCCTAACTTTATTGCATATTCATTAGTAGGATTTGTGCTCTTGGTCTATTTAACTACTCCTCGGCTGTGTACCACCGCCTTGTCGATCCTTCTTCTGAATTTGATGTTGTTCGTTCGTTATTGGATCGATCGCAGGGTAGAGTGCAATCTGTGAAGCAAGGTGAGCTTGTCCTACGTTTCGATGAGCGCCTTGTGCGTACACATATAGCTGGTCAGCCATATGATGTTCGCTTCGGAATCAACCGCACCTCCTTAAGGCGTGCACACCTGGCTCTCGATCTCTGCAGAAAGCAGTCTCTGGTCAACCTTCTCCTGCCATTCTCAGTGCCAGAGGTTCTGAAAGACGCCTTCAACCCTCCGGAGTTCACCCCTTTCAATAGGTACATCAACAAAGAACAGATGATGGCAGTATCACAGATATTGTTTCGTACGCGGGTCCAGCAGAGGCTCCACGATGCAGAGCGATTGGCCATTTATGCCGAGACGAATCTGGGTGGTGCTGGAAGCACCCGTCAAAGCGGCCATTCTCGGCGGAATCGAAACCGGGGAAAGACGAACCGCAGTGCTGATGAAGAACTGGGATTGCGGCAACAGCAGCAGGCAATCAAGGACCTGGAAGAGGGAAGCATCTTGCCTCCTTACATTCTTTTCGGCCCTCCAGGAACCGGGAAGACGATGACGTTTGTGGAAGTGATCCAGCAGGTCCTTCGGGACCACGGAGATGCCCGAGTCCTCGTGTGCACCCCATCGAACAGTGCAGCGGATAACGTGTTGGAGCGACTGTTCCGAGGGCCACAGACTCTGCAGACGAGGGAGGTTCTTCGTGTGAACTCTCCTGCGAGGGCGATGGAAGGACCTGGCGCCATCTCCCCGTCAATGATGAAGTACTGCGCCTGCGAGAATGTGGATGACCGGCTTCGCTTTTGTTTGCCGCCTGTCGAGAAGCTTCGGGCTAAGCGTGTCTTGATTTCAACTTGCAATTCGGCAGCAAGCATTTGGTCGGCAGGAGTCGACCGAGGTCATTTCACTCACATCTTCATTGACGAGGCCGGCCAGGCGACGGAACCCGAATGCTTGATCCCCATTGCACTCTTCTTCGTTCCCGGAACGGTTATCATGCTGTCAGGCGATCCTTTTCAGCTTGGCCCCGTTGTCCGCGCACGGCTTCCACCTAGGCAAAACGGCGATGAAGGCGAGTGCGAGGGTAACGGAGGGTTGATGATGTCGATGCTGGAGCGTCTTATGACATCGCCTGCAACCCAAGCATCATACGGGCGGCTGCATGGAGCTGACGGCAAGAGCTATCATCCGGCGATGATCACAAAACTTGTCCGGAACTATCGCTCGCACCCAGCAATCCTGGCGTTCCCGTCGGAAAGATTCTACAACGGTGAGCTCCGCGCTTGCGCAGATGAAATGATGAGGTCGTCTCTGAGTACCTGGGAGCTATACCCGAATCCGAGGGACTTTCCTGTCATCTTTCATGGAATTATCGGTCGCGACGCACGTGAAGAGAACAGCCCCTCGTTTTTCAACGCCGCGGAAGCCTCGCAGGTTGTGAAATATATCGAATGCTTGCTTGCAACGAAGCGGTTTGCTCTTAAACCTCCTGACATCGGTGTGGTCACACCTTATCGCAAACAAATGCAGAAGATCTCTGCGCTGGTGACGGGAAGGTTCACGGACGGCAACGTGAAAGTTGGAAGCGTTGAAGAGTTCCAAGGGCAAGAGCGCCGAGTTATTATCATATCCACCGTCAGATCTGATCCCGCGTTCATTGAATTTGACTACAAGTATAGCCTGGGTTTTCTCTCAAATCCTAAGAGACTGAACGTGGCCATAACCCGAGCAATGCAAGTGCTAATCATCATCGGCAACCCCTATGTTCTCAATCAGGTCAGCGACCCTGTACGCTTGGCCCCAAGTTAACCCCCCCTCCAGATATTATTTCACCTGCATTCATAGAATTCGACTACAGTCACTACACGTATAGCCCGCGTCTTCTGTCAAGTCCTAAAAGACTGAATGTGGCCATAACTCTAGCAATGTTGTGCATGCAAATCATCATCGGGCGGGACCCTTATGTCCTCAATCAGGCCAGCGCCCCTGTATGCTTGGCTCCTCTGCATTCATTGAATTCAAACTACAAGTATAGCCTGGGTTTTCTTTCAAATCCTTACCCCCTCTCTACCCCCTGTCTCTTATACACATCTAGATGTGTATAAGAGACAGGAGAGAGAGAGAGACACACACAGACACACACACAGAGAGAGAGAGAGAGAGAGAGAGAGAGAGAGAGAGAGAGAGAGAGAGAGAGAGAGAGAGAGAGAGAGAGAGAGCATAACTGTTGGTTGGAAACAGCAGCCATAGCTGCCACTCTGGATACAACTTGAGACTTTCTTCTTGTTCATTCATTCTTTGGGCTTTTTCAATAAAAGAATTGGAGTTTCTCATATTGTGTTCATTTTGCATCGTGTGTTGTTGGAGTTGTGTGTGCCGTCTTATGAGTTGGATGGGATTGCCATGTGAATTGCAATTGGGGCGAGATCATCACAAAAAGTGATAAAATCATAATAAAATGCTAATAAAATGAAGTGATAACTTGGGACCTTGGACCCCAAATGCCCCTCAGCATCCTGACACTCCCTCTATCATGACTACATTACAGTAGAAACACCATCCTCCTGCTGCCTTCCACCTAGTCTTCCACCCTAGCTTTCTACCTAAGCACAAGTACCCCTATCATTTAGTCTGCCACCCTGACCTGCCACCCTGACCTGCCACCCTGACCTGCCACCCTGACCTGCCGCGTAAGCACCTGTCTCTTATACACATCTAGATGTGTATAAGAGACAGGCCTGTCACCTTGCCTTCCCTCTGCCTCTCCTCTCAGGTATTAAAAGAAAAAAAAGAAAAAAGAAAAGAAAAGACAAAGGAATGTGAACCCACACGCGCACACCCCTGAAAGTGTCTGGACTGTGGACTTTGGAGTTCTGTACTTGCCAGCTGTTGATCGTTTCCCTGTGTATCTCCTCCTCTCTGCGATGCAAGCAGATTAGGTGGCCTGTATTGGGTCCTGTAGGTCTGATGAAGGTAGATTAGGTGGCCATAACCCAAGCAATGCAAGGGCTAATCTTTGTCGGGAACTACTATGTCGTCAATCAGTTCGGTGATCTGAGGGGGGGAGCCGGGGGGGGGGGGGAATGAAGACCCCAAGCATGCCAAGGGGGGTATCTGGACCCTGTATGCTTGGCTCCAGTCAAACCCCTTGGCATGCTTGGGGTCTTCAGGGGTGAAGTGATTTTTTTAACGCAAAGGTCACATACACACCTAGCCCTTCGGAGTTTTGAAATACCACAATTAGTCAATGGGATGAGCCTGTGCTTCTGGTCAATGCTTGCCAGAGGTAGCGGTCTCCGTATGCCGAACTTTTATTTTTGACTCTTCTGTGTGGGCCCTGTAGGAAAGTTGAGCAAGGAGCATACATACTACAGCAGCAATCAGTGTACAAAGCTGCCACAAGCAACATAATCTCCTCCTCCTCCTCCTCTTCATCCTCCTCCTCCTCCTCCTCTGCTACCTCATCCCACTCTTCCACCTCCTCCTCCACGTCCCTCTCCCCATTATCTTCTTTCTCCTATGCTTCGCCCTCCTCCTCTTCCACCTTCTCTTTCTCCACCTCTGCTTACCTTGCCTTCTCACCCCTCCTCCTCATGCTGCTGCTGCTGCTGCTGCTGCTGCTGTTGCCACTGATGCTGCTGCTGCTGTTACTCTCTGCAAGCTCCCAAAGTTGTTGTACCCATTTTTTTTTTTTTTTTTTTTTTTTTTTTTTTTTTTTTTTTTTTTTTTTGTTTGTTGTGTTAACCACTGCTACCTTTCACAGTGTTGGCCCGCGGACACTTCCGTAACCTGCTCCTTGAAAATCGCAGCTGGGCCGCCATCGATAATTTCCATAGGCGGCGCCCGGCGGCCCCATATGTTAGAAAGGTGGTCGTAGTTTAACTATAAGCTATATTCTTCGCTCAATATGCCTCCCACTACCTACCTATACCTCCCGCTACCTACCTATACCTATCCATGCCAGGAACAACCAGAGCCAATGCCTGGAAGCGCCTAACCTATACCTCCCGCTACCTACCTATACCTATCCATGCCAGGAACAACCAGAGCCAATGCCTGGAAGCGCCTAAGCCGACGGGGTGGCCTAAGCCTATGTCTATTGTCTATTCGCGCCTATGTCTATTGTCTCTTCACTCTACTCTATTATGCGGGGAGTAGTATCTACTATCTAGGCTTCTAACCCCCAGCGAGGGATGGCAGGAGCAAGGGTGAAGCCTCCGGAATAATGGTACTATGGTTAGTATTGTACCCATTTGTGTTTGGAATTAGCTTTTGACAATATCGTCATTAGGTAATTTAGGTTCATGTGCGTACCATCATTGCAACCATTGCCCCGGTCCTGACGTTTATGTGACTGACCTTAATTTGTCGGACCCTGTACAGGATGAACACTGGGGCGCTTTTCTGAGTTATTGCATCAAAAATAATGCGTGCGTTGGTTTCCCTCCCTCATCCTTGGTTACGAGGCCGAGCAAGGACAAAACTCGTGCAGAAAAAAACGCAGCGCCTGCCTCAAAGGAGTTGGAGACTGTGCTGGCTACACTCGAAATGGCAGACATGGATGAAGACAAGGTCAGAGCTGCCGAAGAGGAAGAGGAGAAAGCCTCTACGAAAGCAACTGGGTTCGTGCTGCCTGCGTCTAAGGTTGGCATGTATGAAGATCCGGAATGGCCGGATCCCGCTTCGTGAGGACCGGCCTTGTTTACATGGCGGCCTAGATGGTGCGCGCCTTATTGCCACACTTGATTGACGATGGGACGAAAATGCGCAGCACTGTGGGTGGTGGCGACGGAAAGACGAAAATGGGCAGGACGGAGACTGGTGACAACGGAAAGGTGAAAATGCGTGGAATTGTGTTTGCGACTCTTGATGGCACGAATGAAAGTGCGAAGCGCTGCAGCTGCCAACGGAACACGAAAATCCGCAGCACTGAAAATGGCGACGGAGGGACGGAAATGCTGCGGAGTTCTTTCTGCTACCCTTGACGACGTGACGAAAATGCGAAGCGCGGCGACTGGCGACGGTCCAACAGAAAGGAGAAAATGCGCAGCACTGAGACTGGCGATGATGGAAGGACGAAAACGTACAGCACTGCGAGTGAGAGTCGCGGTGGAAAGAGATGGGACATGAATGGATGTCGAAAGTACTCGTGATCTGTTTACTAACGGAGTTACGCATGTGTGTGCCATTCACTCCCATCAGCTGGGAAGCAGTTGCATGCTCTTTTTTTTTAATTTTTTTTTCCCATGCTAATCTTCTCTGTATCGTTCCAATTTTAACGGATGTCCCGAAGGACAAGAAGCAGTTACATCAACTTACATGTACCACTCAGTTTTTTAGACTCTCTGAACAGCTTTCAAAGCCTTTCATACTAGCAGTTCAAGACTCTTTCAATTGCAAATTGGAAGTGTGTTTTTTAACATCAAGATGCTGGGTTCAAACTTCGAAGTCCAAGTTTCGGACTTCCATCTCCGAAATTCGAAGTTTCATTTTCCGAGTCGTACTGTCAAGTGGTCCCTTTTTTTTTTTTAAATCATCCGGGTGGATGCTAGGGGTGCTGATAAGAGCAGGGGTGCTGATAAGAGCAGGCGCCCCTAGCATTCCCGGGAGGCTCCACCTATTGGTGGGGAGCAGCACCTGCTGGAAACCGGGTCCAGCGTCCCTGTATAACAAGATCATCATTCTTGGTATACACTAGTATACAGAGATAGGGTTGCTCTCCTGCTTTCTACAAATGGCAGCGGCCTTGGCTCTTGGGTCATCTGATGCTACCCTTGATGACGCGACGAAAATGTGAAGCGCTGCGACCGGCGACGGTCCAACAGAAAGGAGAAAATGCGCAGCACTGAGACTCCAGTTTAGTAGAAAAAGTACAATGGAGTGTCCAGTTTAGTATGTACTATGTACACAATTTCCGGCTCCAGAATCAGCTGCTGCATTTGCTGTTCCGGAGTTGTCTTTCGTACCAGGCAATAACATTTGAACTCGACCCTGTAGTTGTTGTTGCGTCGTCCTCTTCGCTGCCAACAACAACAACAACAACAAAAAAAAA